ATAAAACTTAAATAAAATATAAAAAAGTACCCATTAATTTTAATAAGCAGGCAAACAAAAAATTACAATATAGTAGGCGATGTATACTATATAGAAGGCTAGATAATTTTAAATATATGGACAGATGTCCAGTATTGAAGGGTGATATTTAAGTGGGGAATATTCTTGAGTGATTGAGTTAAAGTTACGTCAGTGTGTTTTAAGTTCCCGTTGAGTAAGTTGAGTAATTGTGTTTTGTGTATTGCGTTTGCAGTGTTAAAATGTTGGAGTATAATACTTATTTAGGGTCTTTTTTTGTATGTAACTGCGTGCTTGCAAATACTTTGGTTCTCAATTCTATTTTAGCTTTGATGTTATATGTTCTTTTTTTATCAAAATCCTTCCTATTTCTGCTAATGACTAGCAGTGGAAGCCATTAAAGTTCCACTATTTATATGGAACCATCAGGTCGTAATAGTCTCAAGAGAAAGAAGAAATACATGCCTTCGTGGGTTCACCGTGTTACCGCTGTTGGCAAAATATACTTTTCACAATGCTCGCGTGCTGAGCTGGAACCACTGCATTTTTCTCATCGGTTCTATGACGATCTTTTGTTGACAAACCGGCATTATAAAAAATAATATGTATCAATGTAATATTTTATGACGCATAATTAACTTTTATTAAAAAAATTATTTTTATTATGAATTCATTGTCTATTGTTTTACAGTCGCTGAGCAGATTGTTTTCTATTTTGTTATTTTGTTTATATAAAATGATGTTATAAAAAAATTTCAAGAAAAATTTTGCTGTAAATGATTAAAAACGCTCTCCAACAACTTTATAAAATAAAGGAATATTTTTATAATACAGCTAGGAAGACTACCATCCAAGGTTTAAGAGCACATTAGAGTGGGATTTTAAATCAGAATTTTCTTTTGTAATCATTAATTTGTCATGAAAACAAAAGCCTCACCGGTCCCAATTTTTTAATAATTTAACAGTGTCACAATTTTGGCCTTTGTTTGAAAGATGCTTTAAAACAAAACAATAGTAAAATGTAAATAAATATTTTAAAATAATTTATTTATTAGGTTTAAAAAAAGTCTTTCTTTTATAATTCTTTTAGTGTATTTAGTGCTTTTAACTCATTAAGAGATAAGTGTAACTTATAGAAAATTTCTTTATCATATTTTCCTGCTGTCTAACTTTGCAATACTGTATTAACTTCAGTTTGATGTTAAATTTTTTTGTAAGCAAAGTTTGATCTCCATAAAGGTATTAACTAATGAAGCTATATCTAATAACATCTCTAAAACAATAACATCTCTATAACAGCATTAACTAATGAACCCATAGTTTGATCTCCATAACAGCCTTAACTAATGAGGCTATATGTTTTATTAAATATTTTTAACAAATCGCTTAAAACAAGTGATTTTTCCAGATAAACTGAAAGTTGCAATTATTACACCCATTTTTGAATCAGAAGATAAAAGTCTGGTTACAAATTATCGACCTGTATTGGTGTTACCTGTTTTTTCAAAAGTCCTCGAATGTATTATGTATAATAGGATATTTGCATTTTTGAATGATAACAATCTTCTTTATTATAACCAATATAGTTATCGATCAAATTACTCTACGGAACATGCACTTACGCAACTTGTTGAATTTATCAGTAGAGCATCTTCCCATAACAAATTCACTTTAGGTATATTCCTAGATTTTAATTTTTTTCTAATAAAATCTGATGGTTAACGGTGTCAAAAGCATTTGACACCGTTAACCACTAGATTTTATTAGAAAAACTAAAATATTATGGAATAAGCCACGAATACCATAAATGATTTACCAGTTACTTAACTGGTCGAAAGCAGTTTATTTCTCTAAATTACGGTTTTCAGACAAACAAATTTATAATATCATGTGGGGTTCCACAAGGCTCCATCTCCATCCTCCAGCCCGCTGCTGTTCTTAATCTATGTCAATGATCTATATAAAGCATCAAATACTATGTCTACTATTATGTTTGCAGACGACACCACGTTGTTCTATTCTCACAGTAAAATCATCTCTCTATTTCAAGTAGCAAATAATGAATTAGAACAAATATTAAACTGGCTTATCACTAACAACCTATTTTTAAACACTGATAAAAATTTTCCCTATTCCATTCTAAACGAAAGTTTTAATATATTCCAAAATCCTTACCAATCCTATATATACATAACATCAAAATTAAGCGCTCATTCACATATAAATTACTTGGTATTTTAATAGATGAAAACTTATTCTGGAGAGATCACATGAAACATATTAGCAATAAAATCTTAAGAAATTTTGGCATTTTATATGAAACCAAATGAAACTCAGCTATATTTTGCATTTATAAATAGCTATTTATCTTACGGCAGTATTGCGTGAGGTAGTACAAATAAATCTAAACTCAAATATCTCCTTAAACAACAACAGAATCATGCAGCACGCATCATTCATTTTCAAAATTGCTTCATAAATGCTAAACATCTTCTAATAGCATGACGGCACTTGATATTTATGAATTTTTTTAAAATTACACAGTTTATGTTCCAACATAAACCATTAACCACAGTAACCATTGTTTCTGAAACAAAAACTCGTAAACTGTTATAGAAATGATAATTATAAAAACAAGGCGATTACATTTATTTATACCCAATTCTAATTTATAAAACTGGGTAGTTCTCATACTTGCAGGCGTTTATTATGTAGAATCATTGTATGTTAAAAATATGAAGGAAATGATTTGTATAAAATGTGGATATTTTTACTTACAAGAGACACGCCAATAACTCCAATATAACCATTTTGTATATCAGAACCATTAATCTCAAAACATTTAAAGGAAACTTCAAAAAAACATTAAACCATTATTGGAAAAGACGAAAAAAAAAAAACGTAACCGAGCTTAGAGAACTCCACAAATAAAAAGTAAATAAAAAGACACATAAATTAACAGTCAACGAAATAGTATTAATTTACGATACGGACGCAGACGCGGTTTTTCGAAGACTGGAATAGTTTAGAGCTAAATCAAATCAACCAAGAGGTTTATCTGCGCCTCTATTGTTAAGTATATTATTATTAGAAAAGTAACCTATATAAAAAGCCTGTAAATAAACTGTTCGCTGAAAACGTTTAAACATTAAAATAAAAAATAATAATAATTAAATTCTGCGACAAAAATAACTTTAAACATTTAGTAATGTATGAGGAGAAAAAATTCTGCGCGGATATGAGCTTCTTGTTTTTTACTGTATTTTGTCAGTAATATATATATATATATATATATATATATATATATATATATATATATATATATATATATATATATATATATATATATATATATATATATATATATATATATATATATATATATATATATATATATATATATATATATATATATATATTATATATAACAGTAATCAGGGGCGGATCTAGAACTTTATATAGGTGTAGCTGAAATTTGTAAAATTACGTCATAATTGCAACTATTTAATAAGTCGGTTAGTCTACGTCAAAAAGACGTCCGACAATTATGTCATGTAGACGCCGCCAGACAGTTTTTTATCTGAGCGTCTTTAATTCACTTTTTGCACACATATTTTTTTCATTTATTTTTAATGGATTCTAGTAAAATAATTAATGGTAAAATATAAAACTTGCCTTGGCTATTCTGTTTGTAATTTAGACAAATTTACTTAACGAAGTACACCAACTAGAAGGTAAGCCATAGGACTTTGCACTCCATATGTAAGTTGTTATGCTGCCTAAAGTTAGCTCTCCAATTCTGGGGTTCTTTCCTTTATATTTTTGTTTCTAATAGAATAAATGCAACTATTACTGCATTAACAATATGATATCGTGATTTATTCAAAAGATATTTACTTTAAAGTTGTATACTACTATATATATATATATATATATATATATATATATATATATATATATATATATATATATATATATAGATATATATATATATATATATATATATATATATATATATATATATATATATATATATATATATATATATATATATATATATATATATATATATATATATCAGTGGAAGCAGCGCAAAGAAATATAATATACATATACATACTATATTATATTTCTTTCTATAAAAATACAATCAAATCACAAATCAATTAAATTAATGGAATACTTAAATCACAAATTAAGAAAAAATAATGAAATCATGGCAAAAAAATGTGATAAACAATATCTTAATTAAGATCTGAAAAACCAGACATGAATACAACCTGAGAGGTTAAAGTTAATTGACAAATCAATTTAGACTCGTCTATATAAATATGATTTGATACTCAATAGATATATTGAATTACTAAAAAAAAAGAAGAAAGTTAGGTAAAAATCTGTTTGGAAACAGATTTTTCCCTAACTTAATTTACTTTTTTCTTATTTATAAATTGTTTGCTGTTTTGAAGTCTGTTTATAAGAAACCTTAGCTCTAATTTGAGCATGATGTTAGCAACTTTTAATAACTTTTTCTTTTTTTATAAGTGCTAACCTTTTTATAGATACTATAAATAAGTAAATAATAAATATTTAATAGAATTAAAGTAAATAAATAATTATAATATTAATAATATTAATACACAAAATAATAAGAAACAAGAAATTTGTGTAACAAATTGTCATCTATGCAACTTGATGATTTAGATTATATTATGCGTAAAAAAAAAAAAAAACTATTAGCAGAAAATTGTCATGAATGGTACAATATTGAAAAATCCAAGACAATTATTTATGATAACAGAGTAATAAAATTTAATTAAAAAAGTAATGATTTACATTCGTTGTTACTTTCATAATGTTTATATAATGACATGCATTATATAACCAGAATATTTATGCATTATATAACCAGAATGTTTACTAAATTTAAACTCCATCTGGCTCTTCTCTCTGGATGAGCATCATATGCGCATAACAAAACAAAGTTGATATATTTAAAAATGACTTTATGGTATACTTTAGCTCCTATATTATTAAAGCCTACATTAACTAGTCTATTTTTTGCTTTTTAAACTAAAGCTTTAAATTTTTGTTCTGTTCTACTGTGCAAGCCATCTTTATTTTATTTTAATAATGCAACAAAATATAAAAAAAAAAAAACAACGGTAAAATAAAAATACCAACCTACTTTGGAGTTATGTTAATGCCTGCAATCCAGTTTATAAGTTTTTACTTTACCTGATGTTATTATACCAATTCCTAACAAAAAGAATACAATAGATACTCTATATTAGATTTGATAAATATTAAATGGTCTTTAATACTGCTCTTGTAAATATATGTAATAATCATTTATATATAATAGGTTATAATATCTGTAGTTTCATCACATTTTAGTTTAACCTTATATTAACCAACTGTTGTGCTTTATTGTAATTTTTTACTTCAAACTTCACAAATCCAAATAGGATACCCCATGTGGGTAACAAAAGTACTCCATTTTTTAATTGATTTTAAATACGCCATTTTATTATTAACGCATAAGTTCAAGATTCCATCGAAGATTAAGGGCAAAAAGAGCCATAATTGTGGCTTTGAAAAGGTCTTTAAAATTATGACTTTTTACAGCAAAATACGGCTGTTTTTCTCTATCAAGGTATGACGTAGGTATTGACAATTATTATGCTTCTCCTCAACTGCTATTAGTTTTAAATTCTCATCAGACCACAGTAAGCACAGTGAAAGTCAACAGCAAACCAGAAACTACCTGAAATCTGCATTAAAAAAAAAATTAAAAAACAATGTGGTTTGCCAATGTAGAAAAGGTCCTTTGTTGTGTGTGGCTTACCAAGATGGTAAAAAAAAGCCTTTATTACTATCTACTGTTTCCAAGGTTCCCTGAAATGCATAACAGAAGAGGAAATATTTTTATGAAACCAAATGTTGTTTCCCTTTCCAATAAAACTATGGGCGGTGTAGATTTGCGTAATGCACAACTCTATGTTGTCAGCATAAAACAAAAAAAGTAGACTGCGAATATTTTAAATTGCTAATTATTGTATAAATTCATTACAAATGAGCACAAACCAATGTCAAGGATAGATTTACAAGGATTGCAATAGTGGAAAGTTTAGTAGTTTTTCCAGTAAAAGAAATTTTAAAAAGATGAGAGATTGAATTACTCAAATCTAGAGAGATTTAACTACCCAATTCATAGCAATATTGAGCAGAGGTTGTTTAAGACATTTTGATCATTATTAAAATTATTATTAATTGTTTGTTTGTTTGTTTGTTTGTTTTTAATAGATCAGGACACCAAGAAATTTAATTGTAGTTGTTAAATAAAAATTAAGGGTGTTTAAAAAGTTCCCAAATTTTAATTCTTTATTTGTTTAACTTATATATTTGATTATTCAAATAAGATTTAGGTCATTTCTATATAGTTATATACTTATTTCTATTTACAATATTAATACATTCATATATCAACTATAAAAAAGTCATCGTTTAGGAAAAAAAGCATGACTTATAACTAAATTTTGAAAAATAAGATTGAATTTAATTCTTTTTAACTTTTTATAAATTTTTTTTAAACATCTTCACTTCTAGAAAGGTTACAAGCAACCACTATTAGAATTTAATGTTTCTGGAAGAGAAAAGATGAAGTTTATAAAGCAAGATAACGATTAACAGACGACTTAAAATAGTGCAAATTATACGAATCATGAAAACAAGATGAAAGGAGAAAATACCAAAAAACTGATGTTTGAGAAAAAAAAAATACGAATAAGAATTGTTGAAGCACTTAGGAACAGTCACAGTATATAGATGAGAATTAATTAAATGATAAGTAACACGAGGACGAATTTTAGTTGGTGGCACAAGAGACACAAGCTCTTTAAGGTAGCGCCCATTATCGTATTTATAGAAAAGAAAAAGACAAGCAACACTAAGATCATGATAAAGAGATGCAACTATAGCATAGGCTGATTTTGCAATGGATTTGATATATGGTTTTCAAAAAAGATTGAAAGTAAGAATTAATCCAAGAAGACGATGGGTAAATGACTCATTGATTACATTACCGCTCATAAAAATAGGAAGATCTAGATGATAACGATTAGCTGAAATTTTTTTTTTCAGTTTTATCTGAGTTAAAGTTTCCCAGCCACTGAGAGACCCATGCTATAGCAGAAGTGAGTCTTTTTAAACTTAAATGGTCCCACCAAGTAATCAGAGAGTATTGCCTTCTTTTCAAGACAAAAATAAATGCTAATATCAGCAGCAACCAGCGCTACCATAGATGTGAGCTTTTCAGGGAGATCATTAATGTAAATTTAAAAAAGTATTGGGCTAAGGTAAGAACCTTGAGGAACCTCTGAAGTTACAGGAAATAGAGAAGAGTGCTTTTTATCGAGGGCAACTTTTATACTAAGATTGGTAAAGAAGGATTCATTAGTTCTAAAGATGATACCTGATACACCATAAGAAGAGAGCTTATAAAAAAGACCAGCATGTCAAACTTTATTAAAGGCTTCAAAAATTTCAAAAAAGATAGCTGTCCAAATCTATCTAACTCACGATAAAACCTTTCAATTATTGCTAATAAAAAATCAGTAGTAGAACAAGAAGATCGAAATTTATATTGATGATCAGAAAGTAAGTTATTAGATTCAAGATGAGAGATTAAGTGTTCGTTAATTAAAGACTCAAAAACCTCAAAAACCTTATGATAAGAAGAAGACTAATGGGATGGTAATTTGACGAGTCAGATTGCTCTTCAGAGTTTTTGAAAATAAGGATAATAAAAAATATATAGTAAAAATATAGGTTCTGCTTTCCAGCAGGCTGGAAAACAAGACTCTGATACGCACATGTTATATAGTTTTGAAAGTAAAGACGACAGCTCCGGATAATACTTCTGCTAGACTATAACTGGTATGTTGTCCAGGTCACATTAGCTGTAGAAAAATCTAAGAAAGAAATCACGTTAGATACAGAATCTGGATTTATATGAATGTGAAACAGTGGATCAACCTGTTTGACGGCTATATTATGTCGAATATGATTAATGAAACCAAGAGATAAGATTAATGAAAAGTTCTAAGAAAACAATTCAGCTTGTCTTTAGGTGAGGAAAAAAATTTGAACCGTTCAAGTAAGGAGGGCTAACAGATTTGCGCTTATTATAGATACAGTTAAAGGTTCTTCAAAAGTCTCTGGAGCCTAATTTTTTAGATAAAATATAAGATTTCGGGACCGGAGATTACTGAGGATACTAAATAGAGGAATCCTCTAAATGTATTAAAGATGCTTTGTCAAGAGGTGAAATAGTACGTTAACGAATGTTTTCAGTTTAGTTTTCTTCAAAAAGTTTTCATATTGATCATTTTACAGGAAATGAAATATTTATTTGTTTCTTTTTAGTGTAGATAAAGTTAAAGTGTATGTTTTAAGATAAAGTTAAAAAAATAAAGAGTTATCCGAATTAGTTTTCATTTTTCTTCCGCATGTTTTAAAAATCCTAAAGATAATTTTCCAAACATATTTTGTTATTAAATTTTTTTAATATATTAACGTTTATATTAATATGTTTCCATTTATTCCAACAAAACCGTCATCAATACAGTTGCGCTAATTCTTAACAATTAATTCTTAACTGTTATCTTTATTGATGTTGTTTTGAAACTATTGTTTTAATATTTTCCAAAATATATATAAACTTTCCTGTATTTAGTATAAAAAATGGCTTTTTTTCTCTTGACCCGTGTTACTGAAGGCTTTTAATTTGCCTTAAAATGCCTGCTCCTACTTAAAATGATTCATTTTGTTGAGTTCTTGGTATTGGTTCATTTTGTCGAGTACTTAGTTACTGGGGTGGGCCGTCTTTTAATAACGGGAAAATGACAAAAATATGACAATTTATAGAGGAAAAATTATAACTAAAAAAAAAATTTCTTTGTAATTTTTTTTTAAATTATTATTTATTAAGTCAAATTTTTAATAAATTTTATATTCGGTTAAAAAATTTATAAAAATGACCACATAAAATGCATTTTTGTGAACGGTTTTTTTAAAAAATTAGTTTTTTATACTTTAGACAGAGAATTTGACTCTTGGTGTTTGACGGTTTTACCTGTTTTTAAAACAAAAAGAGTTGGGTTTTGAGAAGAATTTAATGAGAATTCCGAATTTCAAAAAAAAAAAAAAATTCAAAAAATGTTTTGCTTTGATCGTACACCTTTTTTTTTTAAAGAAAAGGAGATTAAAATACGACTAACGAGGAGGAATAATTATGATTTAAAATAATACTTACTTGATTAACATTTTTATAACATTAGTAAGCTAAGTTTAATTATGTAAGTAATCAAGTATAAATTAAACGGATTAGAGGTTCAAAAATACCAAATACTTCAAAAATACTATGATGAGAGAGAGTTTAAGAAAAAAATCGGTATTAATAATAATCGATATTAATAATAATAACACAACGTGTTTAGTGAAGAGCTTCTCTAATATTATTAGAGAAGCTGTTCTTAATTCACCAAAAATTTTATGAACGCATAATTGTTTTCAAAAAAAAACAAGAAATTAGTTTACAGGCAAATATATGCATTTATCAGTTAGTTTGAAACAAGCAGTGCGAGAACATCAGCCTTTAGATATTCACCATTTTCCGAGTTGTACTTTTTGAAGCTTGTAGAAGTAATAAGACCGACCTAATTAGAAGGTGGTTGAACTGGTCCAATTAAGATTACCTCGAGAAAGTTTTGCGTTGTGATCTAATCTAGCTTTGTGGATTTCTTTGTAATCTTCATTTTGACTACAAACCACAATACAAAACCACAATAAAAAAAACACTTTACATAAACGGTTAATATAGATCTTAAAAACAATAATATAAAATAATTATAATTATTATTGATCTCCATCGGATCACATACATAACATTAGCTATGTCCTCCAGATAAAAACTTATAGATAGCGAACGATTTTGTTGAATTTACTTCTGTTTATTGTACATTTCTAGCTCAATATTTCTAGATTTATATTTCATAGGATAAAAAATGTAATATTTGTATATAAAAACAAATAGTTTTAATGAACTAGTTAATTCCAAAGAAAAATTCCCCGACAAACGCAATTACAAAATCTAGATATCTTTAATTAGAACATACTTGATATTGATTTAAAATAAATACAAATTCAGCCATATTAAATTCAGCCATATTTACCTTTAGATACATGACACTCTTTTAAATATTACTCAATAAAGTGCAAAAAAATGCAGCTAAAATTTTGCTTGTTAAATTTTTATACTATTAGTGAGGTGTTGATAGAAAAATTAGGTTGTTGTTGGCAACTTTTTGTAAATATGAGTAAATTTTTTTTTTTCAAATCCACTAAAAAAATTGTTATCTAGTTTTAAAACTAAATTTTTTAAAATTTTTTTTGTTTTAAAAATGTTTTCCATATTTTAAGACATAAAATAACATTAATAAGTAACAATACTTTTTTTAAAGACTTTTGACTAGTGTAAAAGGTTATTTTAAAAACATGTCAAGTTGTCCGCAAAACTCGCTTTTAATTTAAAAAATGTATTTATTCCGAAATGAACGTTATATAAAAGCGAAATGAATAGTTTTTGAAATAAAATTTTTATCGAATCAATAACCCTCATGCTTTAAAAAATAGATTTTAAAATTTTTAATCTAAAAAATAATTTTTTTTTAATCCAATTTTGGCCAATTTTTAAGGTTTCTGAGGCACTGTGCTGCGTGACCAAAATAGGGTACGAGCGTGCCAATATTTTTTGATGAAATTGGCAGGTAAATAGAAAATGGTTATACAAAATTGAATGAAAAGTTACAAAAATAAATCAACATGCCTTAAAAAAAAATGCACATCAAGAACAGAAGCAAAGTTTTCAATACCAATGAAATCACTCAAAACGTTAATACTTGCAAAAAAAATCATAGAATATAAGAAACTTAAAACACTCTACTTTTGAAACAAAGTCTAAGTTGATATAAATTTCTAAAAAATACAAGGGCGGATCTAGGGGTATCCTGTGTTGCCCAGGATTCACCCATAATATTCTAAGAAATTATAAAAAATTTCGTAATTTAAAAAATACTAAACTTAAATTTATAGTTATAAATTTAAAAATTCCGTTTCATAATCTAAAAAATACTAAACTTAAATTTATAGTATACTAATATTTATGTATGAGTTCTT